CATCCATAAAAACCTCAATATACCACCACAGACTTGGGCATTCATACATATATACTGTATGCATTAGCTTTCATTAAGTTAAAACGTGTATAAAAATTTTACACAAATAGTATTTCAATACGAAGTCAGTATGATATCAATTTTGTTGAAATATTACACTTAAGCCTTGAGTGAAAGAACATCAAATATCAAGAACTAACAAGAAGAAACTTCACGCTCAACTCAAACATGTACCCAACCTAGTAAGGACGTTCCTTCTTGTATTGCCCAATCTTTGTGGGTTGTCTGATTTTAGCTAAGTTCACCATAGGCTGTAATTTTTTCCAGCTTACTGTATTCCAGCCTAATGTCATCCCCACCTATGGTGCATGAGACTTGATTAATTTCAGGGAACAGAAGAATTACATTAGCTGCCTGTGATGAACTAAGCTTCATCAGTCAGCCTGCAGATTTGGTTTGCATGTAGTAGGATTGAGCTAACATCACGTAAATACACCTATATTACCATCATAGATCTCTTTTAGCTCTTTTAGCAGCAAAGTTCTTTTTTCTTAATTTGAAGGAAATTTCTTTTTATCAGTATGCACATCCATTTTTCTTTTTAAAAATAGAATAAGAACATTAAAACAAAGTAAAATATTTACATGATGCACCACTTTATAATCTAGTTATAAAATGACTAGGGGCAGGTCCTGGCAAATTCTTTACCTGTATAGTTTTGATATAAGTTATATGTAGCAGTCAAATGATTCATTCTGATCCTGTTGATATATATGTCTGATGACTAGCTATAGTCACCTGGCAACTCCTACCAGCACTATCTACTATGCCTAAATGGTTATTGTGGGTGAAAAGACATGCAATGATCCCCATATTTACCTGGCTGCAATTTATGATTTAATTAAGAGCACATGTCAATTATAAAAATATTCTTTGAAATGGCCATTGAAAAGTTCATAAGACATTTAGTTTTTTACAGAAAGGGTTATCATCCTTAGCATTTTGTTTAAAACTAACGTGCTTACCACCTGTGTAATTAAGTATGATATACTGACTTTATAATTGTATAATTGAGGTCCTGGGGAATTAATGTCTTGTACTGCTAATAATAGGTGCTTAAATAATAGTTCTGTTTTGAATATTCACAGACATGCCCTTCTAAATGCCATATAAATGACATTATGACTGAAACACCAGAGAATTGTATTTAGTGCATTACACAGATTTTGCACAAATTTTATAAATCAAGTTTAAACTCTCTGCAGATTATACCCTCCAATTAATCTTTTCTTTACCACAAAATCTTATATTTTTGCCAATAATTTTTGTCAGGCCAAGTAGGACAAAACAGGTAAAGTGGAGAATATACCAGTGCCATCATAAAAGGGCACTAGAAACCATCCCCCCAAAAAGATGAAATATGTGCTGCTATAAAATGAAAATCAGATGAAAATCTACATTTGCCACAGGTCAAATTCCTGATACATAAGGTCATTCAACGTTATGGTGACTGGTCTGTGGAAAAAGACTTTTATCAGTTGTACATATCTCTATACAAAATCCTCAATTTATCAAATAGATCTTGTGTGATAGGAGGCATGCCTGTTTCACTCGGACATATGAACCCTGTCGTACATACTTGACCTTTTTCTACAGTTGGAATACGCAAGGATTGTATATTATTTATGCCACCAGCCCTTATTTCAAAGATCAACCAGCATAGAACTGTCTGATGTTCATCTAGCTGTGGTATTAAATACAACATTCCCTCTATGATGGATCAAGAAATGTTGAAGAAAAAAAACAGAGTCTGTCTTATTTTAAGAGAAAGAAGTTACCACCCATCATCAGTTTTTTCTTAAATGGACAAAACTTTTTTTCTAATTTTTTTTTTTTCGATATAAGCACTTTACTCAAAAATTTCCCTAATAACAGGTAAGAACATCTGTTAAATTCATTGCCAATACCAAAACAAATACATACATATAATTCATAAATACTCCACATTTGTAAGACAGAGACTGGAGTACAAATGAATCCTCTAAATGAAGAAAAATATTCATAACTGATGGTAATGTGAATGTACGCTTAAAAAGGCACCACTGCTCTAAGTAGTTTGAAAAACTTACAATTTTTTATTTCTCAAATATTCAGTCTAAACAAGAAATCCTTTAAAAGCATCACATGTAATATGCACTGCAATAGCCCAAGAAATGATGCATAATGACCTTGAGCAGTGAATGAAAAGGGAAAATCCACTGATCCTGACATTCTTCTGTGATCAGTAAGTTCACATAGTTCTTTTACATCTGTATTCACAAAGGTTGGTCTAGTGTAAACAGATTGTATTTACTGGATAAAGGTGCAACCATGATCCATAATGTTTCCCTGCCATCAGGACTAAATGTATAGATTTCCGCCACAATACAGTATTTGCTTAACACTTGGCTGGGGGAATACTAGCTTTCCCTGATAACAAGCAGCTTATAGTAGTGAAATAGGAGCACACAAGCTCCAAAATTTAGCTCAAAATGTTTAATCAAAAATTTACTGAACACATCAGCTCTATTAACACTAGGTTCAAATGTTTAGACCTATATTTTAAATCATCAAGCGGGTGATTTGGTGGCTGAGACCAACACTAGTCATAACACAATATTTAAATGTTTCTAGCACTCTGCCAAGTCAGCTCTACTGTAATACATCTATTAGAGCTTTATCAATTTAATGGTTGTATCTTTTCATAATGAGACTCAATATACATGTCTGAAGTAATTCAGTGTATAAAGTCTAATTTCCAAAAACACCAATATTATTCTTGTAAGCAAAACTGAACAATATATAAAATGGGAAGTGAACTTGAATAAAACACCCCTTTGAAGATGCACGAAACCTAATAATGCAAACACATAATTCTTTAATATCATTGCTTTTGTTGGTTGATTAGACACTGGCAAACATGATGGCTGATAACATAAAAATAATTATAAAAAATCATCTATTATAGAAGACATGACATAAAATGGAATTTCAACCTGTAAATGTTTCTAATATGTAATATGTAATGGACTGGTTGATCTCAGGAGTTCCTGGCTCCAACAAAAATCTAAATTCTGAAAATATCTGAGCTTAGATATTCTCCAGTCTTTATGTATTATTCATTAGAAAAGCAATTCTTTATTCATACAGCACAGAAACCACTACACTTCTATGGACAAAAAGTGAAGAGGCAAATATTTCATTCCAGACTTGGGCCAAGTGTTGCCCTTTTGGAAAATAAGATTCATATTTTACTGACCTGGCTAGACAGTCACTGCTTGGGACCAGCAGGTCAATGGTACATGTGAACACTTTATGTGTATATAAAAGAACAGCAAAAGGCTCAAGATGTGTGACAGCTAATATTTCCAGATAAATAATACCTAAATAAGTGTCAATGTAAACTTATATTTGCCTATTTACTAACTTGTCAGTTGAACATTTTCTGCACTTATTTATTGTTTAACTTTGCTAAAATATGGACATAATGTGCTTCTGTCCTTTTTTCAAATTAATTATGCTCTTATGTATGTATTTATTACTTAATTTTTAAATTTTGTTATGTATGACTGTAAACAAATGATTTTTTATGACATTATTATTCTAAACTGCCATATCATGAACCTTCTGTAAATCACATCTATTTAACAGCAGCGTGCCTATTAATACAGTGTAAATCATATTGCCAAAGATAACACCTATCAACTGAATAAACACTGCATAAATAGAAGTATCTGCTATTATATAATTCCCATATATTATCCATGCCTAACAAACAGTGATGTAATGCAGTTTAATTCAACCTAGACTGGAACTAAATATTTCTGCATATACTTTAAAAAATCAGTCTGATTGAAATTTTAGGCCTGAATTCAACTAATTTCAGCTGATACACAACTTAAATTATTATGGATCAAATAATGATAAAAGGTATGCTCAAGAGCATTCTTGCAAAATTAACAAAAAGTAAATTTAATAGCTAGCTTTGAGAGGAAACAAAGAAGCCTTCCAAAGCTATCCCATGTTAAGATCAAGTTCTATTGGTATGGTCCCCCCATTTTATTACCAGTTCCATCTATACTTTACTCTAGGGTTATTCATTTTGTTGTTAAACAAGGACCTCTACAAATCTGAAACAGCAAGAAAAAATCCCAGGAAAAGTCAGCTGCTGCACACATTATCTGACTGGGTTACTTGCAACACATCCATTTTGTATCATAGCTATCAAGAATGTAGAATAAATCTAAAAATAATTACCTTCTTTCAATGCAACTGACAAGTTGTACATAAGATTCTAAAATTAATTGGCACGAATCAATTTTGTGGATAACTTTTCATCCGCAAAGCAAAGTGCGTTTAAGTTGTTAAAGAATAGAGTGTATGCCACTTTTAGACATAAATCTGAACCTCCTTAATGATACAGGACATCGTTTTGCGGTTACATGCTTCTGACTGTGCCAAGAGCTATTAAAGTATTAATAATTGGAAAATAAACTTGAATTTACCTTCCGATTTCATCTCCAACTTCATAGAAGTTTTCGAAAGGCTCATTAGAAAATTCTATCATATTCCACTTCTGTTAGTGTCTTTTCTCGTTGCACAAAGTTTCAACTCCCCTCCATATCAAAGCATAGAAGTTCGTGGAATTTGATTAATTTGTTGCGAGTACTACAGCATCTCGACCCAAAAGCGCTCACGATGTTGAACCTCCAACTTCACCCCGGAAGTAAATAATATTCAGAACGCGCTAAAGTTTTTGATTACGCTGATTGCACGAGAATCATCTATTCTAAATGATACAAAGAGTGTAAAGCGTGAGTATTCATGTTATATTAAAATATTTTCTATTTATATAAAATATTTTGATGCTATTTTTATTGTAAAAATTGACCCTTTGTTTTATTTCATAATAATTTACAAAATCGTTTTATTTATCGCTGACCTATTTCCTGTCGTCTGTTTTCAGCGGTAATGGCGGAGATATTAAGTCCCATTGTTTACTGGGGTCAAAACAAGGAATATACTTCTTTGAATATTGAACTCAGGGAAATTACGGTAATTTAGAAAACGGTAGATGATGCCTGTGGGATATATCTGTGATGGTTCTGTGCTGTAGTGCATTTTGGAAAGCCCAACCAGAAAGCGTTCTTGAGCATGCAGTTTTACTCCAGGATTCAGCAGTTCTATAGACGGCTTATCTGCTGTTCATGCAAATATAGAAAGCGTTACTAGGAGCATCAAATAATTTAACTAAATATTTATCAAATATTTCAGGTTTATTATTGTTACTTTATGATTTAAATCCAAAGAGGTAAAATGGCGGTATGACTTGAACTTGATTGTACCATGGAATTACAGGTATATGTATCTAGATAAACTTCCATGATTGTACAGATACCGGTGTGGCATGAATTGTTCAGGGCGTGAACCATCCGTTTTGCTCATGCGCACAAAGCGCAGGCAAATCTGAGAGACTTCCGGCGTGTACAGTCCATCTCTATCGAGTCATCAATACATTCTTAGACTTATATAAACGTGCACTGCTGAGAACATGCTGCAAATTCAAACATCATCTTAAGAGGTATTTATATCTTATAGATGTTCACCTTTACTGCGATTTCCCTTAGGTGGCCATATCAACACACTAGCCTAGTAAAATCAATATGAAAATACATATAATAGGCCAACAGCTGAATAACGACGACCTGTCCACAGTAGGTTCATCCATGTGCCAAACTGTAATTTGACGCTGATAGTCTATCAAAATTATCAATTAACATATTAATTTTACCTATAAATATCCACATTATAGTAAATATATAATGAGGTAGGAAATGAACTAGCCCAATATAACAGTACAGGTGAATAACAACGGATCATTCACGGAACAGCTTATACACGCATCTGCTGCATGTACAATTGGTCAGGACGGATGGTTAACACAGAACGGACCATACACGTGACACCGGTATAATAAATTGGCAAATGCTAAATATGAATATTATTACTTTTAGAATCCCCAGATTAATTTGACAGAAGATCGACTTTATTTTAAAGCTAATGGAATAGGAGGGCATGGACAGAATCAATATGAACTCGACATACCATTTTTTACACCCATTGAAAAAGAGGTGAGGTACTGTACATTATCAACTTAGAAAATCTTGATATGATTATAATTGTTTTATTATTTTCATTTCATGTTTCTGCCAAATGTGAAGAATATTACAGCCAAGTGATATTCAAGTTCAGTGTTTTGTTTTATAGCTTGTAAAAAGATCTGTAGGTATGCTATTTGAAACACACACAGTTTGGAGGCTGTTTACATTCAATGTATTGACGTTGTCATCTTTTTTTACAGGGTAGTATTTTTACTCTGACAGAGAATGGGGTACGGTTCAAGTTGAAGAAAGTGAGCTATGGAGAAACATGGCCAAGACTGATGCTAGAGGGAAGGAAACCTGCCTGGCTCAGAATAGATTTTGAGAAGATGACCTTTGATGACTCGTCTGAAGATGAAGAACATTCAGAAGTATAATCTGCTTTTACATAACTACATCTTTAAAATATTATGCTGTGTTTTAAGACAAATCAGTATGGAGCAGTACATATATCCAATTGTTTCATGCACCAAAGTCCTTTTTCAAACACCACAGACTCTTCAGTGTTTTTTCTGTTAATGTTTAGAATGGTTTATTCAGTTTAGTTTGATAAAAATCAAAGTAAAGAAAAACAGATGTAAACAAAGTGTGATCTAGATTTTATATATAATATTCTTTAATATACAGGATGAAATTAAAGAGGATTGGATGAGGAGAATTGAGAAAGAAATACAAGATACACAACAGTCAGGTATGTACACCTGATTATATGTGGAGATACATGATAATTGAATGTGCATATGGGTTTTAAGTAAAATGATTTGGTATTCTATAACATTTAAAAAAATTGTTTTCTTGAACAGCTCAGAGGAAATATTTCTTGTGGAAATTACTCATCTATAGACTGTACACCATAACTGAATTATCATTTATTTTAAATGGATCTAGTGGCATGTTTTTCTTTGTTTGGTATCAACTGAAATTTTTAACACCAGAGTCTGTCAAATATTGTAGGAGTTAAAATATGAAAAAGATGGTATACATCAACTCTAAAGCTCAAGTAGTGCTTATTTTCCTAACACATACATGTTTGTCATTCTGTGTGTGTGTGTGTGTGTGTGTGTGTGTGTGTGTGTGTGTGTGTGTGTGTGTGTGTGTGTGTGTGTGTGTGTGTGTGTGTGTGTGTGTGTGTGAGACAGAGAGAAAGTGAGAGATTTTATATAATATGTGACATTTTACTTTCAGCTGTTGGAGATTTGAAGATGATTTATCTTTTTATATACAATTTGTTTCAATTTGTTGGTTACTCCTATATAATGGTGGCTATCATCATCAGATATATTAGATATGGACAAGGTGAGCAGTTATACAAGTATCTTTTTTGTGTGATGTAAGATTTTTCACCTGCATAACTATAAAAGAACTGAACATTTGAAAGATCTGACATAAATAGTCTAAAGGCAAAGGAGGTGCAAAAGCAAACATTTCAACATTAAATGTAACCTAAAGCGTAACAAGACTTTTGCTTTCTCTTAGCATCCCAAACTGATGTATTCAGTGCAGTTGGTGCTCAGATGATGATATGTCAGATAGCAGCTTTGGTAGAAATCATCAACCCGTTGCTTGGTATTGTGAAAACAGGTGTCATGGCTCCACTCATGCAGGTAAAGCAATACTTTTTTTCTAGAACGTGTAACAATAGAATGTTTTGAAAATGAAAAATAAATTTAATCAATCTCCTATATTTTTTAAGTTTATTCTCAAGACTATGAATCAATGTATTTAAAATACTGGTAATTATCTTGATATGTACAGGTGTTAGGGAGAGGCATTGTGGTATTCATGGTAATTGTACAGGAGCCAAGGGTACAAGAAAGCAGAGCAGTATGGCTTCTATTTGTTGTTTATTGTGGAATAGAAATAGTGAGGTAAACAAGTATATTATATTGATAGTCCTTGTGTTTAGTGCTTTGCATAACAGTTTAATTGTTATTCGTATGTAGATTTAATTCATTCAGATCTGTGTTTATTTATTTTCTGTATCTATCATGGACCGTCTGAAATGAATAATGTTTCCTCTAAATGTAGGTATTCATTTATGAATATGTGAGATGGTTTCTAAAAGAATCAGCTAGTCTTGAATATAGTATTTGCTGCATTTTTATTTTACTCTCCTTTCTCCTAATAGTAATACTCAGTACATGTAAATTTTCTAAACCTTAATCATTACAGGTATCCGTATTATATATTGAGTGCTTTGGAATATGAAGTGAAGATTGTTACATTGCTGAGATATACTTTGTGGATTCCTTTGTATCCTGTGGGTTTTGGTTGTGAGGGTAAGCACTTGCAGTATTTATGTATTTGACTGCATTTGCAGTGTTGCTCTTTAAATTTAAGGGATCTCTCTTTTTCTAGAAATTAACATTTGTGTGATGTTTATTAGTGAATTTATAAATACTGTGAAACCCAATAGCGAACATTGATAAGGAAAGATTAAATTGCAATTGTATGGATTTTTTTTTATTTGTTTCAGGTGTCATCATTTATAAGGCCATTCCATATTTTAAAGAAACTGGAGCATTTTCTGTGCAATTGCCAAATGTTTGGAACTGTTCTTTTGACTTTCCTACATTTTTGTGGATATATTTAGGTATAATTGTCATAGGTATGTATCATTTATGTATTGTGCTTTATAATTTCTATGAAATTATTGTATTTAACTCATTTGCTTTATTAATTTCTTAACTATCTGACAGTCTGAAAGACTGAAAAATTGTACACAGGTCAGAGGAGAGAAGTTTTCTTAGTTGTAAAATGATGGCTGTGTTAATGGATACACTGCACGTTTTTTGTTGTTGTTGTTGCCAAGTAACTAACTTTCCCCAAAATTTATGAACACTTTTTTCTCTTCAGCTTTGCTAATTGATAAACTTAAAAACAAATTAAATATCTTGGCTTGGGTATCTATGAAAAAATACCTGACAAATAATAAGAATGCTGAGATGGTATTTGTTTTGTTTTCTAGCTGGTTCAATGATGCTGCACCACATGTATTATCAGACCAAAAGAAAGTTAGGCATGAGCATAACATCAAAGAAGAAAAAGAAATAATTTCCTTGGATGGGTGGTAAAACTGCATGGTCAAATTGTTGAAGAATGTTTAAATAATATAGGAACAAAAAGGATTCATTCATCACTGAAATCATGTTTATCATATTTATATGGAAAAGTTTAATATGTAGATTTTTATAGGTGAAAGGCAATCAGTGGATATTATAAGTGATAAGTCATTGAAAGGCAATCAGTGGATATACAGTGGATTTCAAAAAAGCACCAAAGTTAAAAAATTGATTTCTTAAAAACTATTCTATAATTTTATTTGAAACTGCAACATGATATTGCTTTCAGCACATAAAAAGTTTGAATGACTAGCTTTTATAGCATTCCTGTGGTGTTCAATGCAAAAAAATGCAATGCAGGAATAAGGTTGGAATTAAGGAATTAAGTCTCTTAGTAGAAAGCAACAACCTTAGGGTCTGCCTAGCCAAGGGAAGCGTGTGGTGGTCAGTGGCAGTAGATGTAAACACAATGACCATATTTCAGAGGTTTAGGATGACTTTCCTTGGAAGGATCAAGATGTGTATTATGATAGAAAAAGAGTCTGACAGCAGTATCGAAGTATGCTGGAGACTGATAAATAAACCCTTTTCAAGATATTTTTAGTACGGGTGAGACTTTAAAACTCTTTTAAAATTCTGGCTTATGACTTTTAAATTGAATGCCAAAGGAATGCCCAAAAAAACAATTGTGTCAGAACTTAAATGTATCAAAGGCAGTACCAGAAAGCAGTGAAAGTGAAGATTAGATTTATGATGGTGTTTAATGATTTAAGATGTAGTGAACTGAAAACTGAGGGATGCGTGTAGTATTGGTTCTGCATTGTAAAAATGTTGTGCAAATACAAATATAGCTTCAAATTTTCGGATTTTGGATGTTATTAGTATTGTGATTTGCTTGTACCATGATCAAGTGACAGTATTTTTCATAACATAATGAACAATTTTTTAAAATTTTTTGGAAATTAATGTCAGTTTCTATTAAAACCATTTCTTGCCCCAACTGTTGTTGAAACCATTATAAAATCACATTTTTTACTCAGGTAATAGTGATAACTTTTACATAAATGGCATTTTTTATCATTTTGAATGGAAATTTAGAAGTAGAGTTTTCAAAGATTATTATATATTGTAACTCTTCTTATATGAAATATGCATATTGGTATGTGCTAGGCATGTAAAATGTGAAATGATTATGTAATATTCTAATTTGGAATGCTCTACGAAACCAGGTGCCCTAAATATCAGTCCAGTGTTGACCTGGGCACTCTCTTTCCTCTCTCTCTCTCTCTCTCTCTCTCCATCATAAGTTACACTTAACACACTTGAAAATAGCTACATGTAGCCCAACTGCCATAATTTTAACCTTCCCATGGTCAAACTCAGACACTGCAAAACTTTGTTTTGAAAACAACAGTCTGGGGGTTTATAGTGTAAGTTTTATTTTAATGTTGTAAACAAAGATCATCATAGATATGCACTGGTAACTGGTATGAATCTTAGCTTAAAATGTGTGTTCAAACAAAATGGATTCAATTTTCACTGCTGCGTGTTATTCTGATTAATGACAACTTACTGGAAATGAGGGTTTGTAAGAAAAAACAGTATTGCTAAAACTTTAGACTCTGATTTGTATATTCCAAAAGATTAATCAAATCATGTAATCTGTTTTTCACTCTTGTTGATTAAAGAAATTTATTAAAATACCCCTCATGTGGTGACTATTTTGTTTCTTTTTACCACTAGGGAATTTTGAAGTGCTATAAGTTACATTACTTCTGTAGTCTGGACCTAAAATAAATACATGCAATATTGGAAGATTTGGACAAGCATGTTTATTTTTTCTAACACCCCAAAGCTTTGAAGCCCCCCTTACACTGGAAGACATCCTCTCTGCATTCCAGTAGTATGGCCCGGTTTGAGAGTTAAAAAAGTACTTTACTTGCTGATAACTGGCCGATCATTGAGCATTCATTCTACAACCATAGCAGTCAGACAAAGGAGTCAGAGGCAATATTATTGACAGGGGCGGATCCAGATTTATATTCTGACAGTCTTCCAAATTTTCTTTGTTGATCTATCCTCCATTTTTGACTGTCTTCCGACAGTAAAAATTAGATACCCGTCAATGTAAACTTGAAAATCTGACCGTCTTCTGGAAGACCCAGAAGACGGCCTAAATCCGCCCCTGATTGAGTAGCAGGTAGTGAAATATCATTGGATTTTAATGGATGTTGATATGCCCTTCTCCAACAGTTCTTTTTTTATGTACAGACACAGATGTGTCTGTACATATAATCATCACCTGTGTCTGTCATCCCTGTCCCCTTTGCCCTCACTATGCACTTTCATTGATAACACATAGTGGAAAAATATTTTACTTTGTGTCTACAAACTTACATAACTGATGAAAATCAGCACGATCTGGCCATTTTTCAAAAGTTGTGCTGTTTTTTTCTTTTTTTTTTCATTTTTTCCAACATATATGCAATACTGATAAAACATTTCAAACCTGAGAGGTCAATTTTTTTTAAACTCACAGGAGTGATCAATCTTACTGAAATACATGTCGAGTTCGAAAATGACCTTGATTGATCATTTTTTAGAAAGATAATGCTGCTTTTTCCCTTTTTTCAGTGCATATCAGAGTTGACAAAATAACCTTTTTCGTGCATCATTATTTTCAGCTTTTTGTCTGTATATTTGACAGCTTTACTGCCTTGTTTTTCAATTATTACTATTATTATTATTATTATTAGTATTATTATTATTAAATTTAAAATAATGAGAAACACTTAAATATTCTTAAATCTTTTGGTTGAGGGATGCAATTATTCTGTCCATCTTAAAACTACCATAATGTAACTTACATTACGTAATTTCTTTGTAATGCTGAACATGTATCCTTTGCCTTTAAATGATTGTAAATTGTATGCAAATATCTTATTTGTAATATCCAAATTATCTAAGAACTGGAGGTAGCATTGTGAAGTAATTTCTAGATTTCCCATTGTGATTTTATTGCTGTTGGGGTACTGTTGGCAGTCCATCTAATGCATTTCGGAGTTAACATTTAGTTGCCTTAGTCTGGATCATTAAAATTATATGATGGGGGTATGTTGTAAATGATGCTATGAGCTTTAAAATGTGAACATTTTTATTTGCATTGCATGAGTCTAGCAGTTCTTTAATTTTTAAATTAGTCAAAACCACTCCTTTGCTGAATTACTAAATTACAAAGTTGTCTCCTTGGGAAGATAACATGATTACATGACTTATTTAAAATGTTTGCAGTTTTTGGATTGAAATGTGCATGATAAATAACTGTTATCAATTGATCAGCTTCAAGCAAAATAAAAAGAAGAAAAAACATAGGATAGGCCTATACACTCTGATAGACCTTTTAACGATATTTTCTGTTTATGTCACTAGAGATGGAGATGGAAGAAAACTAATATAACATGTCTGTCAAATATGGGGCAAACTTGGCAGATGCAGGTACTTGAAGCTGATTGCTAACTGCGTAAACTTGATTTAATATATGAAGATCCAACTAGTATGAAATAGTTTCCATGAGAAACCGTTCTGTTGCAAGGAATTAGCAGACGATTTTCAGACTCTGGTTTTGTTTTTCTTCAATTTGTTCTCAGCAGACATCTTGGGATGAATTGTCAGTTGCTTTGGTTTTTAACCGTGACTAAGTCAACTAACCTTCACATGACACGAGGCAAACTACTTCCAACCAGATCTAGTCCCAATATTATTTCTTCATGTTACACTAGACAGTATCTGTGAAAAGAATTTTCTATGTTGTTTGATACCTTTTCATCCACAGGGTTATTATTGTTCAGAAGATCAGGGGGTTATGCATAACATGAAATGGCTTCAGAAAAAGAAGAGAAAAACAAGAAATACAAATATCAATTGACAGGAAGTGAAAGAAAAAATCCCTCATTCGTGCATTATAAAGAAAAGAAAGACATTTAGCATTGTACGTGTGGCACTTTGTTGCTGAATGAATAGAACATTTTCTTTTTAATTGGGATCATTTTTCTTGCATGGTGTATTTTATGTTTTTGGTGAATTTCCTTCCTTTAAAAATAATAAGTTGTTGTTTGACCATGACCAAAAGTATTTATATTCTGTTTAACCATAGGTGTTGATAGGATATGCCCATGCATGCTTAGGTCACAGCAGGTTTGGGAACTATTGTCAGAAGGCACTCAATTCGAACACAGAATTCAAGCCAGAGTGTTAGTTCAGTTCTCTGTGCACGCTCTCATTATTCGCTTATTTCATTGAGCTTGTCTCTATCTGTGCGTCTATCAACATTCCACACCAATAGCCACAAGGCTCACCTTTACAATTCTCTGTTTATTTATATCTAATGCACATACTCTGTGTTCATTCCCCTGAATAAAAGACCTGTGCAAAATGTGCTTACTTCAAATGAACAAAACCTGATACAGACCTTTTCAATGCAGCACTGAAGTGAAGAAAATTCCAACTTAAAGATGGAGGGTGAAGTAAAGTGTGAGCCAAAAAAAAGAAAGAAAAAATAAAAACCACAGACACACAAACACACACTGAGAAGAAACAATTTATTCGTTGATCCATGTCCAATTATGCAAACTGAAGGGTGTCAAAATTCATTTCCAGTAACTGTGTCAACTTGATAGAAGTCAGTGGCCTATAGAAATATTGGAATTCCATTTCCTGTAACTTGCTTAATTTCAACTAATAGAATGCTTCCTACTTTACCTAATATTGTAAGTGAGCATACCTGAGCTAATCTTAGTCCTTCGGTAAGGACTACCCCCAGTGAGATGTTAATCTAGGATTTTGACATTTTATAGCCTTTCATCCAGGTATGTAATTTTAGAGTGGAGCCAGGCATTAGCCAGTGGTGAATAAATATTTACAGGTACTAATGATCTTATCCAGTGGAACTCGGCACATGGTAAGTATAGCATGCAAAATACATGGCTTTGCTTTTTAAAAGTTTAGCAGAAACGTACTTTGTTTTACAAGTGTGTATAGTTTGAAACTTTTCAAGTAGGGTTACCTTTTGCTGTGCTGTCCACAGATGCTAAAATGTATTCCTTGTACATGCCAAGAGTTTGCAAGGTACAGTATACAGACCTGTTAAAATGATATAATATTGCAGGTGAGTGTGAATTTGGGGAGGGAGAATTAAGTCTGTCAACAGTGCTGGCTTGGGCTGTGTTTATCAACAATAATGTTACACAAGGCTACAGTGGTAATTAAAAGAAGTGTTTGAATTATTAACGAAATATTATACGCCTGGCTTGTATTTGTTGAAATCGCTATGAAACCATTTTACTACATTGTGTACAAATGGTATTATTTTGCCAGTGAGTATATTAGTCATTTATTTGCTAAATGTTGCAGTGATGCAGATTTGAATTTTTAAGCATTGTGAATTTGTTCAATAGTTTATTTGTATATAATTTTAGATTATTACTGTGTATGAAGTTTATATTGGATATTGTATTTTAGAATTTCACCAAGGAAAATACAGATAATAAACTGGGTGTTCTGTGTAACTCAACAGTAACAGCACAATTGATATGAACAACTCTCGTGCTGTTGCAGTATATCTCACATCTTTACATCCACTTTTTGTTGCACACCTGGGCGCACAATCAGTCTAAGTGAACACAAGCAGACTGGGAAATTAACTCATTATTAGAACAATTTGAAGGAAAAGAGGAAAGGAACTGGCCTTTTCTATAGTCTTGACCCAGCCTGAAGTATTGTATGGCACAATCTAAAGTTTTCTGCTTGCTTGATGACATTGTGTTACCTGTGACCTGAGGCTGTTTGAATGTGCAGAACACCCTTGGTCAGTTACCACCATAGAAAAATGGTATGGTCACGTACAGTGTAATATCTGAAAATGCATGTTAGGGAGAGGGGCACATTGTTAGCATACTTGGCTTTTGCAAAACATACAAGTGCAGTAGTGGTCAGGGCTGCATGGCAAAAGGTAAGGTCAGTTGGACATTTGTAAGTAAAAATGATTTACTGGCTGTTAGCTGAAAAGGTGGTTACAGCTAAGAGTATTCTAGAAACCAGGATGAGCGTCCCTCTCAGTGGATTAAGATTCGAAGTACAAGTACAACAATCCATGTTATCAAGATAGCTTAATGTTACATGCATGGAAAATAGTTGTATTATATCATCCATCCATGGCAATTTGTATCAGCAAAGGATTTACACCAGCATGGTATAGTGTGTGTTGATTTCAGGTAAGTCATTTATTGGATTAGATTATTTGCTAAATTCCAAGGTTGGAAGCAGTAGCCAGGTGGCTGCACTGGCTACTGCTTCCAACATTTCACTGGAGAAATATTTTCGTGTCAAAAAATCAATGTTTATGCACCTGGCTGTGCATTGGTCAGGCTGCAATGGGGCACACACCACTGGTCACAGCATACAGAAACTTTTGTTTGGCTTGTTTGTTATACAGGTTAGCCAGTCAAAAGTCATATTTTTTCAAGGGCTTGATACTAATAAGCAGACCATTTGGTGTGTGTTTTAAGGAAAATTTTCGAAAATTATTTTCACACATTTGAGGAGTTCTTGAGGTAAGGTTGGATAGGTTGATGCTTTTATGGTTTCACTTTTGAGACTAATGAAGAGTTTCATTCTGGACATACTTGGTCTTCTTTAATTGCATGATAAAATCCAGGCAAGTTGTTCCTTACCTATATATAACTGTAAAGTGATGCAAGTGCCCATGAAACGGATAGGCTGTATGCCAACATGTTTCATGTTAAAATTTAAAAGTCTTTTACAAAAAGTCATTGACCCATTTCAAGAGAAGCCATTATTGAATGATTCATCTATGCAAAAAAAAGTAGTGAGAAAATAACCAAACAACATTTTGAAAACTTTAGCAGATCAATTATTTTAACACATTGGCAGTTGGCGTATTTGCAGTGCGCTGCATTGATTTTGGAATTTTATGTACATAAGGAAATCACAAATACTGCCTCAATGACATATGGTAATTGCTTGCCCTGTATTGGAGCACACACGACACTGGGCTACCCCCAACATTTAGATCTTTTCATCCAGTGAATCTACAGGGGTCGCAAGACTCAGGGTGGCAATCAGAGGAATTGTAAGAAATACCAAAGGCATTGCTGATGGGAGGTGAAGTATTATTCAGCTCTTATTTGATCTTTTTGTAGGCAGTTGTAAGCATATTCACCTGAAAAAGAGACTGCAAAGTAATTATTCCAGCCAGGGAAGACTTGGATGTAGTTGTGTGTGACTGACAGGGTCCAAACAAGGTATGTATAAGATAGATATAATCACATGTGTGATTTCCAGATTTAAAATGCAACTTTTTAAAATTAGTATGTTTTTAAAAAATTTTTTATTGGAAATATTGTTCCTTTTCAAATATATTTTTTTTACAGATGTCAGTTTTAAAAATTGTAAAAGAAAGAAAAAGTCTCAATGTAACAATATAAAAAGATTATGAAAATGTATGTGGACAAGTATAGTCTTGTAAAATATGTAAAAAAATCTTATTTTTAATTTTTTATCATAATTTTAAACATTTTGTTTTTTATTTTTGAAGCTGAGAGACAATACACCAAAATAACACATAAGCAGCATCAATATTTTACGGTATTTCAAAAAGATATAATTCTTGAGAATTTAAGTCATCGTTATCAAATGTGTCAAATGCCTAAATTTACTCACCTGTTCCTGATGAAATGTATATGGGCAAGGATATCAAGAAATGAAAACATCAGTACAATGGCAGTGTACTTTCTAAAAATTGCGTTATTATGTTTACAATCATTGGCATAAAGTGAAGTAGTGTAGAAATCTGTCAGTTATGAGGGCAATAATGGTTTCTCTGTTAAAACAAGCTTGGCTGCTTTGAGTAAGCAATGTTATGCCTTTCTTGCTCCTTGAGTGATAGATCCATACACATAAAGCTTGCATAATCCCAGTTTTGATCAGCAGAACTTGTATTATATATTTGCAGTTTACACTCTCACTCACTGCATTTAAGGTATGCTCAGTTCTTGTAACCTTATATCTGCCAGGTATTATCAATGAACCTTACCTGGGGTGCCAGTATCTTAGGCTGCATTTAGGGAGAGATATTGTGATATGCAAATTAAGATTGAAGAGAAATTCAACACTAGCAGTGTGTTGCAGAATATCTTTAGAAGGCAGCATATGTGGGAGCTTACAGGTAATGTGAGGGATTATGGATATTAAAAAGAGAGTGGTGGGATTAATAAAGATTTGTACCTAAGGACAGACTTGGTAGGGTGATGAATCCTAGCATTAAATGTACTTTAGTAGAATGACAGTAATTTGCTGAAATCTAGCTCAGTGCATGGGCATTACACTAATTCTACAGAAGAGAATTTATGCTATCTGTATTCCCTCATGCTGTCAAAAAATCCATCAGCCATAAGGTGAAAATTTCCAATCAGAACAATTAATCTGCTATTGAGGATTTAGAAAAATTCAACATTCATTTTGATAAATGTTTAAATTAGTTATGTCAAGAAAATACAATAAATCTGAAGTTCATTTTCATGTTTTTAGCTTTAACACAATATCAGAAAGATCTTAAATCTTGAACCATTATTCATTGTCCCACCTGCCTGTTTAAGGTCCACCTATTTTACCAGATGGTTCTCTCAATAAGATTAATCATGTTAGAAAGAGTTGTTTTATTAGAAAGGACCAGCAGGCACTTCTGTCCACTACTTTTACTAAACACCAACAAAGGACAGCTGAATCAGTTACCTTCTGTTCATTTCTTATCCTAGAATGGTCAAAATTAAACCTCCATACCATTGTGTTTTCTCAGATTAAAATGAAGGACAGTTTTTAATTTTTTTAACACAAAAAATGTACATTTTTGGCAATTTTATAAAAACAAATTACTAAATATTTTTAAAGTCAAAATCTGTAATATTTGATCTTTTATATGAATATATAATAGCATATTCTCAAACATTTAAAATTCAAACCAAGGATGGGAAAAAGATAAAGGAAACATATGAGCATATATCCCTTTAGTCTTGGCTATCAGAAAGATAACATTTTCATTAGAGGCTTTACAAAACATGTATGAAATCACTCACTGGTTTCAGTTTTGTTTTATTTCATAGATAAATGCAAAATATTTTAACTCACAATTTTCTTCTATAAACTAATTTTGTGAAATAGTTATGCAAATGAATTAGTCCACTGAATGTGCTATTTAATGAGAACCTGTTCCACGGTCTCACCAGTATGTCACAGAAAGCTTTTAATAAAAATTTAAGCTATGTGTATTTTTCCACAAAGTTTTATGAAGTCAGCAGCCAAGTATTGGCCAAACCTGGCATCTGTTAGTGACACATTTCATTGTGACAACAGAACAATAGCCTCCTATAGTTAGACATTGTAATTGTTCATAATTTCCTGCAGCATGTACAAATTGTAATCAATTAGAAGAAAATGATTACTTTTTTATATCTAACAATGAAGTTATGCTGTATAACAGATTGTTAGTGACAGAATAACTCGAAAGTGTTGAGTCAGACTGACCACAGTGGAAGAGATGTTAGAAACCATTTCTATAACAGCTCAGAACTATGGTGTCCATGACAAGACCAGGTTTTTAATATTGAAAGTGTGAACTGGTGGTACATTGTGTTAACTTTGTGTTCACGTCAGCTGCAAGAAAAAAATTTTCCTGAATTACTTCTGTCAAACTTTAGCTTATTCTTTGTAAGATGCAGAGATGGGTCATGGATGGAATGCATATATTGACAATGTATGTCAGCAATGCTTATTAACTCAGTATGATATTTAAAAAAAAAAACAAACTCAGTACCATGACTAGTTGTTCCCCAAATTAGCAGCTTAAATCTGGACTGTACACTTATTAGAAGAGTCTTTAATATATTTAGCACTTAACCGTATCATTACCATATATGGAAATAACCGATTCAAAGAATCAAATAAGAAGCTGTGATTGGCATATTTTGACAATCAGCTGAAGTTAGGAGGTTTGAGGTGGGCTGGATATATTGGAATAAGAATAACTGTGTGAAGATTGTACATGTAAATTCGCAGTTCATGGTACCTGCACCATGCTTCAAGCTACTAACTACTAAAACCTTCCATTTTACAGAGGAACCATCTTGCTGTGACACTAATGACACAACTAAGGTTTATTACTTTAATTATGTGGGTTATAGTTAATAGACTTTGACATAAAATTGTACAGGTTCCAACTTAACATCCAACCCCTAGGTGGTAAATGGCAGTGTGAAGGTGATAAAACAATTTTATCGTTGTATCACAAGGGGCACAAAGATGGAACTCAGACAGGTGCCTGAAGTTTCACAGAAATAAGCCAAATGGAAGGTTCATGAAATTCAGTAAGTGCATACGTATGCAGTGTAACAGGATATTTTTCAAAAATGTATTCGTTGAATAGCTAGAGCATAAGATCTTTGAGACATTGCCAGTTTTAACCTGGTATTAGATTGTTTGAGGCTGTGAAAAGTTGACACACATTGATGGGTGTAAGCAATATCTTTAGTGCTCATTTTCAAAGAGAAATATGTAAGGGGTTGAAGTCTGAATTCTTAAACAAAGTGGATTTATTCTATGTCATTCCAGTTTTGGAAGGTCTAACAAACAGGCCAGCAGAAGCTATGGTTGGCAGCAGTCTCCTACCTACATTAATCTGTAAATTTGAAAAAAAATCCAAGTTTTATATCCCGAATTAAATGTTGTGTAATATGACACATAAAAGCATCTTTTTGACATGCTTAACAGTGAAGTTGGTTAACCCCATGCATGCAGTATGCTCAATGTGTCAGAAGACTAAACCAAGCATTTCTGATTTATTTGACATTCCGTCTTTCTTCTCAATATCTGAACTGAACTGATTTCTTGTCACCTTGAAGAGGGTAGTGTAATGTAGCAGGCGTTTTGCACCCTAGAAAGTCATGCTTGTAGGCTTCTTGACTGTGTTCTTTGATCCTTGTAGTAAGGAGCGTGAGGAGCACTGGGGTTATATCTGGGGTATTTACACCAACATGACAAGATAGTCAATACAAGGGGCTTTGGGTCAACTTCATCTTTTATAATTGCTGTCTCAAGGGGAGAGTTGGCTTAACACATAGTAAAATGCACTGGTGGCTGCTGAATGGTGAAGGTGCCATTTGGTGTACGTACAATGTGTCAAGTTACAGTCCAAGTCAACAGAGAAACACATTAGGCTTTATATGCTGAATTTGCTGTCTGTGATGTTAGAACAAAAACATTTTTCATGTTGTTTAATTTATACAATACTTTTACTGAGTAACAGATAGTAGTTACCATTCATTGGTAAGAACTATGTCAAGTAGGTTGATTAATGATTGTTATTTGCTTGCATTTACAGGTTTTCAAGGTGGAATTGCATCTCAATGATTGCCATTTGAACATTTAAGACTTCTTCATGCAAAGTGAATAGAGCAACCACCACTGTGGAACATAGCACCATCACCTTTATATAGAGGAGTTAATTCAAAGTGAAGCAAGGGCATCCTATAGGCATTTGTTTCCAAAGCAGATTTAAAGTTGCCTCTAGGGACATAAGTAAGCATACAGCATTTTGCTGCAGAAGTTTCTGGGAAAAGAAATTGGATTTACTACCATTTAATGAGGTTCCGGGTCCCATTGCCTCTGGAATATTGGCTTTAAATTCCAGTAAATCACAATGTTTGAGTACAGAAACTATGGCTATTACCCTGATGACAGTCCAAATGATCTGCGCGACACAAGCATGCGCACATTTGACACTGCTCCAAGAACTCCCACTTACAAACAGAATGGTGGGATTAATTTTTCTAAGCATCATTTGAGTCAATCAAAGCACAGTTTAAATATGTCACGGAGGAGTCTAAATCTCTCAAAACTTTCCCTGTATGGCAAGGATTACGGAGTGCAGAAGTCTCTGGCAAGCCTAGCTTTACTAGCAGTCTTATCTACTGTTTTAGCAATATTAGGAGTACAGATGATTATGACACTGACTGCAAAGCAAAATACAAAATCTCGAAATAATGGTACAATGCTGCGTCAGGACGATGCTTATGAAAGTATTCTAGAGGTGGCTGTGGCACTGTCTGCTTTTGTAGTGATGCTCAATTTCTGTTGCCTCATCGTGTGTTCTCTCCAGTGTTTCTTTGTTGCCAAGATACTCAAGGTGCCACAGGGGGAAGAAAGGTGAGGTTCCTAAATTTTAACTTCATTTACATAGTAATGATAACATTTGAAGTGTTTCATAACCAAGTACAAACCTGTAACCACCATGATTGTATGTCTGTTTTGAATTTGAAGCCTAAAATTAATTGACATGTATTTCAATACCACCAGACGTTAGCTATGTGGGGACCATGAAAACCTGCTGAAATGTCTTGTTTGGAAGTTATTCAGTTCGATCACACTTTTTCATCATTAAATCATATATTTGGAATGTGTTATTTCTTTTTCTCACATTTCCTTCTCATTTAAAAACATGCACATAGAAAAGATGAAATAATGGTCTTATAGAGATTGAAATACTTCACTTCATGGAATAATGTTGCAGCTTTTTTCTCGTTTCAGGGCATTTAAGTATTTGAAAGAATCTGCTGCAACAAGATTCATCTCAGCTTCTGGCTTCTTTATTTCCATCCCTGCATATATTTTAGGTAAGTTGGGCAGGTTGCAGTTACAGATCCATTAAGAGTGTTAAAAGTCATCATTTTTAATCATTGTAGATAGCCTTTGAGGATTAAACGGGGGTGTTGCTGAGATTAACTGTCCACAGGTTTTTGACCTGGTGCACCTTTTGTTTCTATGTCTTATTTGACATTTCAACAGCCTAGCTGCATTTTAGAAATCACTAAAAAGTTAACATATTGTTCTTTTTTTTACACAAGTGGTTCCAAATACATAAGGTGTCACGGAATAGAAATCACAAGATTATAAGGATTCTTTGAGTTCACTGTTGCTATGGCTTTAGTTTGATACAGTAGGGTCATATACTTCACATAAATATCATCTCCTCACCATTGGAAACTCCAAGAATTGCCTATGTGATATTGATTGATTCAGATCCTTTCATAAATGTTATCTATTTCAAATATTTACTTATCACTCCACTATATATTGGTTTCCCAGCAAACTGAGCATAATTTTTGTGTTTTATACATATGCATTTTACAATGCTTATGTATTATTTTTCCACATAACGACATCATTAGTTGTAGATTTCCTTTCTTTTAGTGATTCTGCTATTCATGGTGATGGAATTTCAAGTAACTCCTGCCATCATCTCAACTGCCATTCTCGGAGTTGGATTCATATTCTGTGTTATAGCAGTGATACAGAATACTTACTACTGGCGGGTGGAGAAAGAGCGAGGAAACAAGAACCTGCCTGTATTTGACTTCAAACATAACAAACAAAAAAATGACCAATTAAATGGACAATCCACTGCCGACACAACTAGGAGTGAATTATCCACTCTGGTGTAACATACACTTTGTATATAGTTGTTGGCTTAGCTATAATGCCAAGATATCTTCCATTAGGGACTCTTATGTTTTTGCTTAAGACCAATCTTAAATTCTGAGGTATTAAGGGACTTCTCAAGACTAAGTTGTATTATCCCATTTACTTCTTTTGTGCCAAAGAATACCTTTACAGGCAGCATTTCTTTTTGTACAGTTTATGGTAAATAGAATGTGGCTAATACCATATAATAACCAGACATCATGTTTTCATCATTTAACTTAAGTTGTTTCTCATAGATGTTCATTAACTTTGTGTAAACATTATGTTCTGGTTTGTTATATATTGCTTTGTGTAACTCATTGATTTTATGTCAGTCGAGTTTGCTGAACAAAGTGAAGGACAACAAGCACATACATGTTATAAAAATATAATCTTTGTATGTTCAGGTATTGCTTAGATTCTAAGAAAGATTAATAAAAGCCACTTGAGCAAAATAATTAAGTTGACTTAGCAGTCAGAGGTTTTAAAAAGCCTGTATATTGTATTGTCAGTTGTTTGTTTTTGAGTCAATTTTATTTAAAAAAGGAAAGGGGTGCTGATAAATACAACAACTATTTAGAATTTCAGAAAACTCTTTATTGGAATAACTGCAAATAATCTGAACAAGCACTACATAAAATAAGCTTTTTAGTGAACCAGTACACCAACTTAAGAAAACTAAACACCTAACAGTAAGAAAAAGACCAACTTGTCTTCAAGTACTAGCTATACCACAAGTCGTACACTGTATGCAACATACAAGAGTGTAACTATATCGAGGGGAAGCCAAGAGATAATTTGTTCTTGTATGTCGCATACTGTGGACAACGAGTAGACTAGACTAGACTGGCGCTTCAAACAATAGGATGAACGCACCAAAGCATTTGAAAATACAGGCAAGCCTGTATGTGAAATACAATAATAAATGAAACAATCTAAGAGGGGATTCTGTCTACAAAATTGAACATATATGTAAAGGAACTTCTCCATTAAAGAAGCATCCTCATTACCATCCTTTAAAATCTAACCTAGTACCTACCAGGTAGGACCCAACATAACAAGCTTGTTATGTTGGGTCCTAGATAAAACATAAGTACCTTTTTGGAATATGTTCTATTACATAAAGTAAAAAAAAAAACCTACAATTTTTTTTCTACTTCTTGTGAATGCATGATGCAAGTGAGTGTCAACTGCTTGCTGCATTACACAATTGAAGAGTGATAAAGACAAGAAGAAAAAGAACAGAGAAGTATCTCCATCCCAGCAAGCTTGCCACAATATAATGGTAAAGATTCAGAGAAATAATGGCATTGGATTATACTGGGCCCCTTGTCAATAAGAGGGGAATAATAATGAGATACAACTCTTTTATCTGCAAATGCAACTGGTGCTCCAGAATAGGACTATAAAGACCCAGCAGTAAGTACAACCTAACAAGACATTAGAACTAAGACTGATGTCTTATCAAAAAGGTGGTATTGTAAATCATCACATGACCACTCTCTTCTATGTACCTTGAGAAATGTTGGGTGACTTAACAATATGAACCTTTTCACACGCCACTAGAATTTTATCTTTTAACATTTCTGTAATAACACAGTTCATGTGTTTGAACACACTCATTATGACTAGGGATAGAAATTACAACAATTTGCATTGCTTTACTCATAATTTTAAACTTTAACCTTACTAAGGCATTAGAGTTGCTGGAAAAATATTGAAGATGACAGAAAAGCAAGTAAATACAACACATTGAATATTTTATATTACTTTTCTGACTTTAGTCAGCCTATTAGGTACACTTACAGTATAAAAAAAATACGAGCAGCTCTGAGAATCATGTACAAGGTAGCAAATTGAATCACCTGATAACATTTTCCTTTTCTGCCTGCATTACAATAGTTCTGTGATCTATTCACATATGCAGTGGTGGTTTTTAACTAGATCAGTACTGTTTTGTTTTTTTAAGTTATGAAAAAGAGCATCTACTAAAGTAGCACATATCTCTTGGAGAAGGAAATGGTGAAATTAAAGAGTACTTGTCAATAATTCCTGTGATTAAAAAACTCGAGACCAAATGTAGTTGAAAATGTTTGATCATTACCTTGCAGGTAACAGAAGCGTATACTTTTTCTGGACAGAATTCAAAGAGATATATGCTGACAATATTTAAGACCACAAGAGGACACTTAAGATATTTGGATGGGCTTAAAAGAGAAAGGAAAAACTATTGATCAACAGAGTGTGTTTTTGAATGGCTTTACCAGACAACTAGACTCCATTCATCTAGAACTAAATTGTTACAGCAAGGACCACATTACACTTGTGACAGAATGTCACTTATTTCCCTTGGGATTAAGACTTTTATTCAATCTTCGACTTATTAGGCTTATGGAAGAAATTTAAAGATGTATTATAATGGCAACAGTTAATCTTGAACGTGAACAGAGAAGAAATTTGAAATTAAAAAAATCTTACAAGATTTAATCATTTTTTTTGATAATTTAATGACATATTAAATATTGGAAATATTATTAACAAAGTGCCGCAAAGGAATTTGACAGACAGCAGAGGCAAAATGAAAATTTAAATAAACCATGCAGTCAAGTATTAGGATTTCAAATATCATAACATTGTGATAATGGGCACAAAATTCCTCTCTTTGTACAGCTTTTCGCATACCAAGAGTAGGCAAACGCTTATAGAACAGGTGGTAGTAGAAATTAATTTTACAGTAACCACAACAAAAACAAAGAAATGGAAGGAAAAGTTAGACATGCAAGAGGGTCTCTCTTTTAATGGCCCACAAGAGGCTCATCTGAGATAGAACAAGAGTATACATGCTCAGTGAGCATACTTGGCTATAGCATTACTTACATGTAGCAATGAGAACTGGAACATTACTTTTTTGATTGTAGCAGTTATGGATAACCAACATGATGCATTTCTTTTGGACATCATTTTGTGAGTTTGCCTGTAGTTGACTGCACCTTAGTGCTAACTAAGATCAAAAACAGCGATGTTTTTACTAAACAAGGGAAACGTGCTACAATAGCAATAGAATATGCAGAAAGATAAGAAAGAGACAAAAAACAGAAGAAGTGGAAAAAAAGACTGATATAGACCAAGACCCAGGAGAACACTGGATCTTGGAACAATGATCCAACAATGTAAAGGGTCTTACTTTTAGCAATAAAACCAATATTCAATCTTAAGACAAATGAAGAAAAAAAAATGCATAGCATAGACTTCAAAGCTTCCTACCATGCATATCATCCTAAGATCAAAACTGTTGATATACTTGATCCAGACTGTGTCATCCCAAAAATCTGTGGTAGCACAGCTGTAATTTAGATCAGAAGTTAGCTCAATTTGCTTCTTTGTCTTTATAGACACGTACTGAAGTATAAAAATTAATAAAATAAAAAAAAAAACGTAAAGAACTTCTGATCATAACATTTGAAATGAAAGAGACAAAAATGAAAATTGAAACATTCTGAAAATGAGTATAATTGCATGCAGGGATTTGTGAGGACAAAAGAGATTAATTAGGAATAACCAATGATCTTTTTAAATCATCCGTTTTTCGAACAAGTCTGCATAGTAAGACTTTTCAGATGGCTGGTAACAATATGTTTAATATTATATTTGTCAAAGTTCAGTATATTTATATCTGTTATGATGGAAGAGACAATGTAGAGTTATTGCTTCCTAAGGAGTAGATCAAACTGTCTGAATAATAATATCCACACCAGATTCAGAATGCAACACAATCATCTCCAGTCAAGATATAGGAAAATTAATATATGCAAACTACATGTAGTGTCTGCTGTCACATTAATTGGTGGAATTTAAAAAAAAAACTTCAACTGATACCATCCAGAGTAAAAAAAAAAACTTATAACACAGAACTATTATGTTCAACATTACACCACAAAACTGAATCAGTGCCACTCGATAGATGAACAAGGACTTATGTTGAAAACTAAACTGAGAACAATTCCCCAAAATTAAGAACTTATACAAATGCTCATTCCCAATTTGAAAAACTGGAAAAAATACAAACAACACCCCAAAATATTTCTTGATCATCAATAATTCTGTACCACTTACAAAATATGTAAAATTTGTAGTAATCATTTAATATATAGAGAAATGGGGAATGGGGGAAAGGGGAGAGCAATACAAAAAACAAAGTTTGTTGCCCTGTGGTAAAATGATTGGTAAAACAGGAAGGCAGCTGCAGAAATATGAACTTGTTCATTTAAGAACATTGCTATGTTTGAAAAAATACATATAAAATGTATTTTTAAATTGAAAAATATAGAAAGGTCAATAAAACAGAAAAAATCATGACAATTCCTAAGCAACTATTCAACTGTATAATGCTTAGTGACTGCCAATTCATGTACCATAAAACTGAAAATTAAAGATCACTGAAAATAATGTTATTACGTATATAAATTACCCTATTTAGATAAACCAATTGTACTAGCTGGATCTGTGGGCGAGTCTCACCAGTGCATTCAGCGTAATCAGCTTAATTGTCTGACATGCCCTCCTCGAGTGAAAAGCTTCCGAGAGTTGGCAGACATGATGGTCAATTACGCCCTTGATGGTAGAGGAGGTGTGTCAGACAATTAAGCTGATTACATTGAATGCACTTCAGCAAGAATCCCCCCAGAGTTGGTATGTTGGGTTACTCTGAATGCTCCCTATCACATCACTGGGGAATTCTGTCCTATCTGATTGAACTGGTCAAGAAGAACTGAATGTAAAGCAATAGCCTACCCAATGAGCCTCATTTCAATTACAGACAGTATGTGACACACTAGCAAACAGGATCCTGTACCCGTATATAGTCTTAACTCATTTGGGGATTCGTGAATCCCTGGATTGACCATGAATCGGCTACGAATCAGTCACGAATATTCGCCAAAGCTTGTACGAAGCAAGTAAGAACTATCTATGAATTCACGATAGCATATGAATTAGCCACAAATCCGCTACGTATCTCCCGAACCTATCATGAATCAGCTACGATTGCCAGACAGTTGGGTATATAAGGAGTTTAACATTAATTTCAGGTCATTAGCTGCTGACGACTGTGTCACGAAATCCATGAATTAGCAAGATGCCAAGAAAACCTGCAGGAAAGGGCAAGGAGAGAGGTAAGGCAAGCAAGCGAATCAGGGAAGATTTTACAGCAGGCTCCCCACCTAGAGAAGCAACCCCCCCCCCCCCCCCCTGTAACTAAATCATAGAGCGTATCGAATAAGGCCAGAAAATTTGCAAAATCTCACGAATCCTAATGAATCCTGAAATTTGTCAATTCCTGGCAATTTGTGGTCTGTGTGAAATAGGGGCAACACTGGCCACCATGAAGAAACCTGCAGAAATCCAGTCCACTACCCATGCAATACTTCACACCATGACTTCAATACCATATTTGATGTCTATAATAAGACAACAGTAACCCCCACGTTGACATATTGGTGTTTATGTCAGCCTATTTATATGAATTTGAAAGATCCAATCTTCATCAACAAGAACATATGAGACCATTAGATTATCAAATGCCAATGGATTATTCAGAAAACTAGTTTGATCTTTTACAGCATTCCTGCTGAAATGGCAGATCAAGTCTTTTTGTTGTTTTACAAAAACATAATATTGAATGTCAAGTCAACATTCAATTCAAAAGGATGGAAAATATTCCATTTTATGCGAAACATAATTGTGGCCAACGGAGTGTGGCTCTGCAATTCTTTTACTTAGCAGTTGCTTTCATAATAATAATAATAATACTTAATACTTTTACAGAGGCACATTAAAAGTACTGGTATGTACTACCAACCTGTTATGTGTTTGAAAGTGGAACAACATAACACTATTCACAAACAGCTATGAACAGAAACAACAAAAGCAGGGCAGTTCTGATGGAGCCAAAATGCAGGCCTACCCAACTACCAGACTGGGCACATACCGGGGGTAAGGATCCTGAATTAACGGGTATTTCGGACCACACTACCCGTTTTCAAGGAGTGTGTCAGATCACATTTCGGAGTGTCATACCCCAGAACAAATTTTGTAGGACGACCGCGGGCTCATCCTGTCGGTGTTCTGACTGATACTCCGAAATGCGATTTGACACACACCTTGAAAACGGGGAGTGTGGTCTGGTATACCGGTTAATTCAGGATCCTTATGTGCCGGGTCTGGTAGTTGTGTAGGCCTGAAATGTGACTGACCATTATAAAATACATAGCTGTGAGTGAAGTAATGGCTTGTGAAAGTAGTGGGAAAAGCTTTTAAACAATAATTTCTTCAGTTGACCCTGAAAATGGGTAGAGGTCTAAGTTGGAATCTTTGTTAAAAGTGTAGGGCTAACTAGAAGAAAATAAACTATACATATTGCAAACATTCTTATATGTAAATTTCAAAAATGTTCTTTTTTTTAAATTGCTACTCAGATCTTTGTTGTAGTTCTTATTTTGAAATACTCTTCCAGAATATTGATAAAAAAGAATTGCTTCCTTCCATTAATTTCATTCAGGCCTGCTCTATACCATTTTTGAAGTTGGGTCAACTACGAGGGTAAAAGTGTCCACTTTTTCTGAAAAAGTCACCCCCTGGCTACAGGCCTGTATGTCAATGTAGTTAAAGGAAAGTTCTTAAAAAAGTTCATTAGTCTGGTAATTATCCATGAATTTTTAGAATTAATAGTGTCACAGACAACGCTTTTTACCGTCAAATTAAAAACTAGTCATCGAATACTTCTCAGATCATCAGGGCATGACCAGTTTGTCCTGAGGAAGGCTCTTGAGTAAAGCTGAAAATTTGACGGTAAAAAGCGTTGTCTGTGACACTATTTATTCTAGTTAAAGGAAAGTCTACCTAAATGTATTATTAACTAGGTTCATTAACTATGTTTGTAACTTAAGTGTCACGTTTTTAAATTCCCACCTATTTTTCAGCAAATTTCATTCCAAAGATAAAAACCTAAAAGAAGCCGTTAAAGCTCCTACTCGCTGCAAATCTGTATCTTATACATCTGGCTAGCACACACCATGAAAGCAAACTGTTAACATTTATTCCCATAAGGACACCACTGGCACGCCCTCCTAAAAAGAAAGATGAAAACTGCATTGAGTGAAAAAAAGGACAAAAAAATGCCAGAAATAATCACTCTAATACTTTACAGTGATAATTTTTTGTTGTTGCAGCTGAACTCTAAATGATTTTAATCAGGTTTTTGAAAAGTTAAGAGAAAAAATTAGGACTCAGAAAAGTAATATTCACTCATAAAATAGGACCAAATTTAATCAAACAAACACATTCCATGCTAAACTTCATAGTGTTTTTTGGACTATAATGTCTTATAATATTTTGCATTGAATTTCTAGACAATATGGCAAATAGCAACTTACTTCAATCCTTAGCACCTCTGCCTCCACTTTACTTCCACTCACTGGGGCTATGCCACTGCCTGCAAAACATATCATTACAATAAGACAATATATTTGTAATATATTCTTTTTAACTGACTGTTATGAAATATTCTGAAAATATATGTGAAAAATTTTCATAATAAAGCAATTTAGACATGAATAAAATGAAATGAGAATTGAAGTCTGGCAAGGTTAATATATTTTTCCAAAATCAGTTAAAGACACCAATTTGATAGAGATTTTACCCCATGTAAATGCCCTTGCCAAAGCAGCTGGTTCCTCCCACAATTCATCAGGTACCTGGCAGGTTTGGTTTACAAGGACAGAGTGGGAGAATCCATAGTCACAGCAGAATACAATCAGGTTAGGGCCATCATTACGAACTACCCATGCCCTAGAACAAATGTTCAAATAAAAATAATTCAAATTCATGATAGTTGTCTTAATACTTTGTGAATACTATTATTAACTATTATGTTATTGCTATGGTTGACAAATTAAGGGACTTAGTGCATATTGTTCAATCACCAGATTAGATCTCAGTCCTCTAGCCAGCAATTTGAAATGGGAGGAAGGAGGTCTTTTTCCAAACATTTCCGGACATTTCCCATCAAAAAGGACAGTTCATTCAAACTCCCTGAACCCCTCCCCTCTCCTTCGCTACGGGGCTGGATCTTTTTATGCCAAAGTACATTGTTGTTTTATAATTAGGTTTTTGTAACCTATATATAACTTATTAGGAAAAACACCTAACTTAAACTGACAACATAAGGAGGAGACCCTGCTGAGACCAAAGAACAATGGTGTGCACTACTGCTACCATGGTTAAAACACATGATATTTAATCCAAAACATTTAAAATGTACTTGCTAAGACTGTATAGTACCTTCAATCAACAAATTCCTTTTAAGCGGTTTTCTTAATTGGAGGTAATGAGTGAGTAGTGGGACAAATACTCATTTTAATGAAAACAAGACTAAACCGTGACTCAGACCAAGGAGAGTGACTTTTCAAATACCACTCACCTGTACCACTCCTCATCAATGCACACACCAACCTCCTTACAACTGCTAGTAACAGGTACTTTGTTTTGAATACCTTTAATAGCTCTGTTCATTTCATGCAGCTGTTCAGCACATTTTAACTGGAATTTTGAGAAAAGTTTACCTATGCTAATCAGATGAAAAAGAACAAATAATTTTGTTGATTCAGTTCGAATTTACACGAAGCAATTAGATATCAGGCGTTCTTTCATCTTTTTAACAAGACCTATCATAGTTAAAGGAAGTAATAGGTAGTATACTGTAAAAGAGGATGAAAGTTACATACAGTATTCACGTTAATTTTCAATGCTAATAAAGTAAGAGTTTAATCTTTAATGGATAAAATAAGAGATCACTTTCATTACACTTACTTGTATATTAGTGATAAACCCATAGAAGTATTTTTTGTCTACTGTGTGTGTGATAAATATTTCTATAGTCTCAGGTAACTGATCTGTGTTCCCAAGATAGGCAGCGACATGTTTAAAGATCTCTCTCTCCTCTTTCAGACTGACTGGCATGGCAGCAGGAACAGGGGATCCATAAGCCTCATGAGCTGGAACTAACTCCATGGGAGATAATGCTGGTGTCGATCTGCCGTTATCAACTGCTGAATCCCATTCTTCATCTTCTTGCTGTGAAGGCCTCCCTGAATGCTGGTCACCTTTCATGTGCTCTTGCTGTGGTGCTTTCCTTCCATCCTTTTTACCAGATCTTGGAGGACTCTTGACATTTTTCTGCTGTTGTTCTTGTTGTTTGCAATTCTTACTCTGATTGTCTTTATCCTGTGGCTTAGATTGACCTTTCTCTTGTGGCTTAAACTGCCCTTTTATCTGTGGGTTTGATTGCCCTTTCTCTTGTGGCTCAGACTGCTCTTTCTCCTGAGACTTGGACTGCCCTTTCTCCAAGGACTTTGACTGTCCCTTTCCATCAAACTTTCCTTTTCTTGGTTGATGTTTCTTGTCCTGGTTTGAGTGGCTCTTTTGAACATCAGGCTGCTGTTGTTGCCTTCTTAGCTGTCCATGAGAATTGTGCAGAAACTGTACTAGGTCTCTTTGCTCATTTTGCAGAATGTCACCATTTTCCAAAAAGCTTCTTTGCATTCTTAGATTCTGAAGTTCTTGAGGATTGAAAAGGGGCTGTATCTTTGCATTTTTTGTTATTTCTGCAAGGACAAATTCATGACATGGTTATTTACTCCTTGCTGTCTTTATGAGAGATTATCAAATTTTCAGTTATCCAAAAATATACAATCACCAAAAATCAACTATCATAAACCAATAAATTTTGCACTGTTTCTCAGCAAAAATAATCATTCCAAACCATTAGTACACAGACTGGCCCCATTTAGTTATGAATCACTAGCAACTCAAAGAAAAATTCTAATTAGTGTATATTTTTCAGAGATCTTAAGAAAATTTAAACACATGAACAACTCCATAATCTTGAAAGGTAAATGATATCTTTAATATCAAGTTACTAGAGTGGCAAAAAATGTTCACGACTACAAATTTTGCTCCAATGCCACAGAAAGACTACTGAAAGACTACTGTCACTGTACATAAATATGCTTAACCCACTCTAAAAGTTATTTTAAAAAAGCCTTCTTTTAAAACCCTTCATACCTGTCTCCTTTAGGAACTTATTTGCAAAATCCAAGTGCAAAATCTTTCCCTTGAATTCTGTGCCATTGAGGCTGTGTATTGCACTTGCAGCTGCTTGAGCATTGGGAACAGTGACAATGGCATAATATCTGCAATTAACATTGGCAAAATTATGTATATATAATATTCAAAACATCACTATGTACAGATGCTGGCGCAGGAAAAAATACAAAGTATAATGCACATCAACATAATATACTAGTAATCAGTGATTTAATCAATAATACATAATACCACTTTTCCTCATAGTTCATCGCTTGATCGAAAATACCACTTTTTAATGCAGTATATATCAATTACTAAGCTCTAATGTCTAGTTGGAGGAATCACAATTGCAACAATACTCTTTAGTATCCTTGTATTTCAAGTATTATTAATGATAGTTACATGTAGCAATTGACCTCAACAAGAAAATCAAGTACACTATATAAAATAAACTGTCCTGTGAAATTATGTTCATTCTCCAAGAATAACTGGAGAGCAGGGCTCAATAACTCTGAACAATCACTATATGGGACAGCACGCAAACATTGTGATCAAAAGCTCCCTCCCCCCTGCTTTCAAGTTAGGCAACTGTGCCGGATTGCAATATTTGCGTATGGTCACAATATGCTATGCTTTCGAGTTATCCAGCCCTGAGAAAATACAGCAAGGCACTAGGAAAGACTTAAAAGAAAGAATTTGCAATGCAATCTTTGTTTTAACCGTGTGGTTTGTGATCCATTTTGAACTGCAACTATAAATATAATGAATACAGGTTAAGAATTTTTAATAAAAATAAACAGTTAATAAATTACAAAATGAATAATTAATCAAATAAAAAGCTTAGTCACCAACCATGCACAGTCAAAAGACCTGAAAACCAACAACAAACACAAACAGTGCAGACGGGTTACAACTGTGCCCATACCCAAGGTTTCTCACATCATCCATGCAGGTAGCACCAAAAGAACGCAGAAGGCTCAATAAATCACCCTATAACGTGAGAAAGTGAGATGCCAGTAAGATCTAGAGGTTACAATCATTCCTAGCAGAGGAAAAGGAAGAAAGCAATGAAGGCCATTTTGTTGACAATTGCAAACCACCAAAATTCCTTTTTTCACCCCCTGCTACCTATCATTTGTCCATTGTGAACAGTTTATTGCATAACTGCCACTTATATAATAATAGAGAAATCTAAATGTAATTTAGTGGTTTGCAATGGTCCCCATAGAAACGGCAGTCTCAAAGTCTACATCATGCACCTCTCCTCACTACTTCTGCTACTGGTTCTCACCTTTTAATTGGTTTTAATTCTGACACCATATAAATATTACTTGCACCTTTATGAAATGTCATTAAAATGATATCACCCTGCAATAAAAATGGTATCTATCATTTAATTTTACCATTTCCTAGTACTAAATATGTTTACTAATTTCACAAAAACCTGACCACATTTCAATATTAGAAAAAATAATAAACAAAAGTGGCTAAGATCAAGTCAGCTTCACAATGGTGGGTCTTCAGAAAATTCCACAATATGTGTATTACATGCATACATAACAATACTTAAATTCAAAAATGAATACACAAAAGTTAGTGTTAATACATTCACCTAAAGTTTAACCTTTTACTTGTAGAACTAATAAAAAATTGTCATTGCAGAACCTTTAAATATGTGAGCCAACTTCAAACATTACTATAACTAAATTACTTCTGTGGATTAAAATGGCTAAATCAGAAAGTGTTTGTTTTAAAATGTTCGCAGTTTTGATTCAGATAAAAGCAATTACATTTCTACAACACACTGTATTTTACCTCAGTGCAAGATTCAGGGAGATTGGCAACCACTATCTGAGCCTCCCCCTTCTGACCTGAAAATCAATGATGTGGCAAATTTCATGAACAAGATATATTAAAAGATTAGATGAATCAAATGCATAGCATTTGAGTATTAAACACACAACAGTTAGCTGTACATAAAATGAGACTGATGTGCGACTTCCAACATGTGTTTCATTTTACAAGTGTGTGATAAAGACTCTGTATGATGTTGTTTTCATTTGAGACTGCATACAAATCTTACCAGGAATACTCAAAGGGAGATCATCTGGCTTTTTATACCTCAACTTGACTTGCCTATCTATGAACGTACGGTCATTTATGTCCTTGATTGCCCTCTGAGCTTCAGGCTCAGTAAAAAATGTGGCAAATGCAAATCTGAAATATTATATTATATATTATACTACAGATAACAAAAACCATGTGGAAAAACCTCACAATGTCACTTTCAACATCCAGTTAATTACATGTACATGGGATGAAGACATCTAATCAAAACATCCCGACTGATGTTCACAACAAGGTAATATCAAGGTAAAATTCAACTTTACATTGACAGATGACAAATTGACTATATTGACAATATTGACAAATTGACCTTACTGAATTGACTATAGGAGAATACAATTATTGTCTGGAGTCAAATCAGGTACTTGTTTGCACCTATCCAGACAAAAAAAAAGCTTTTTTTTATCACAATATATCAGTAAGATGATTTTTCTAGAATATTGAATAAAATATAGCGACTTAAAATATTAAGGCAAGATGCTTTTGCATCTCACTTAATAATTTGTATTATTATTTTTTAAATGCTGTAGAAAAAAAATTTACCTTTTCTTTGGACCACCATGTGGTTCTTGTTCAACGAGTTTGAACTCCCTTAGTCTATGTCCAGTAAACAGGGCTTCTATGTTTTCCTGGAATAAATAGTGTATGGTAATTTTAAAACTTCTTAAGCCTCACTTAAAATTAAATTGCCATAAAAAAGCAGCTTTGCACATCTTTACTTTGTTTTTCATCATTAATCTATCTCACCTTTGAAGCTTTGTATGATATGTTGCTTAGAATTGTTTCACAACCTGAAAATACAAAAGGAAAGTTTGTAATCACTTAGTTTATAGCTACTTCAATTCCATCCACATGGAATTACCAGAGGTGTGTTCAAATTTAAAGAAACACTGACTTGAATGAATTTTGACCATAGGTTCCTCTTGTTAAATTATTCAAAATGACATTATTTATGAATTTAAAAGAAAAACTTTAAGAATCACAATGGCAATGACAACAAAACCCACACACTTTGGATACAACGAAGTACCTGTTCTTAGCTCTGGAGCAGTATACCCAACTCCAGGTACACCTTGGAGGAGGGCACCCTGCATCTGTTCCTGGAGCTGAAGGTCTAAAATAGGTGAAGCTAGTATTCTTGGAGAGATCTGTTGTGGAATTCTTAGGCCCAGAGGTAGACCCTCTCCTACAGCATATGAGACACTTGGCTGACTTGTTGCACCATACTGAATGAAGGCTGGCTCAATTACAGGCTGACGTGGAGGAGATATATTGGTTATTGGGTATTGAACACCAAGTGGCAATGGGGCAGCACCTAATATACCAGGTGTCATCTTTGGTGCTCTGTTCTTGGGTTCGTATTTTCCTGAGCTTCCAGCAGAATTACTCACTCCTATATCATTTTGACTTTTTCCCTTAGGCTCGGATTTATAATTTTGAAACAGATTAGTTGGCATTCTAGCAGTATCTCCAGCCATCTCAGATTTACTGCCCTGTCCTGTCTTGTCCCTGCTAATTCCCTTAGAACCCTGCACTGAGAGTTTTTCCTTAGCAGGGCGCAACCCAATAAAAGTTGATGCCAGAGTCTTAAGTGCTTTGACTGCATCTGCTCTTCTTGCATACCTCACAAATATGAGCCTGAATTAAAAAGAAAAAAAATTAGAGAGCTGCAAACAAAGTCTTAAGAAAAATATTTTTCAACCCCCACTCCTTTAAGTAGATAGGCTTAAGTCTCTGAGTGGGAGATGCAACATAGTTAATTAGACTAAAACACAAACCCAGAATTAGACTTTAAAACATTATTTATGTAAAATATGCCTAGATAACTAAAAATTCATTAATTTCAAATTTAAATTTACAAGTCACATAATTGTGCTGTTCTTGAAAATATGACAGACTGTTTGCAGTCATATATCATATAACACACACTGTCAATGCACCATATTTGAAAATATGTATATCTCATAGGCATATTAAATTCATAGTTTTGAAATCTTTATCAATTACAAGCTGTTCAATATAACTAACTGCAAAATAAGGCTATACCTTGAATGACCAAAATTTATGTCTTTCACTTCCCCTATGCTTTTGAATTTACTCTCCACTTCTTTGTTTGGCATACTGGTGTGATGCTTCTCAAACGTCACACAGAAGAGGCCTTGGTGGTTTGGGTGCAGCTCTGGAAACTCGTCAGCATCAACAGGCTCATGAGACCCATCTCAAAAACAAGCATGGGAGTGTTAAATAATGATTCTAAAGTGTTCAAGTAGCAAGTTGATATTATGCTTTAAATTCCCTATTAAAAATTAAATTCCCTGCTGTGCAAATTATATATGTACTCAGATTGTTATCAAACTAACATTGTGTAGAGTTTTATACTCCATCTGGACTTCTACATATATTCTCCAGAAATTATCATGTCTGAGGCAGAGTGGTCTTTTCAGTGCCTGAGACAATTACAGAGAGACAATACGGAGCCTCAGACACTAAACCATTCATGAATTTGTTTGATATCATTTAGTTTTCAAACAACAGCACTACAATAATACTGTGATGGCATACTCACCTTTATTATTGTTTTCCGTTGATATTTTTTCTGCTCTTTTGAGGGCTTTGACAGCAGTGTGTGTCATGAAGGAACCATCACTCTTACCATACACCACTGTCCTACCATCTTCTTCAATAAGACTAAAAGATATGTAGAAAAATTACCTTAGACTCTAGCAACAAAAAAATTAGATCAGTTTCTAAAACAGGGGTATACTAATGTATTATTAATGTCTTTAATTTACATATTATACTCAACATGGGGTCTGATATGGATATGTGATGCAGCAGACAATGCTAATGAAGATAAGCAAATCATGGCAACATTAAAGGGGAGTCTTATGTCGACTCATAAAAATAATGAAATTAATCAACTCTAAATTGCTTGGCTCACATATAGGGAGTCTTACATTTACATGTTAGCCACCTGTTTAACAACAGTATAATTACATGCCAAAGACTCCCTCGTGGGTTTGTGTCTAATATGTCTTGAGGCAAAATAATAAAAGTTTCAAGTTACATTTTTTCCATGAAATCTCAACATCACAAATTACCTCACTACATCTGGCATAGCTTGAAGAAAGTCTGTTAATCTATTGAATTCCAAAGCCTTCCAATTGAGTGCATGGCCAACAAAGGTCTTGTAATCAGTTGTAAAATGGCACAGTGGAACTCCTTTAACTTTAGACAACAGCACTGCTCTCACCTCCTTCTTCACATCACTGGGTATGGGCAAAGGCATTTTGCCTGCACAGCTCTTAAAATTAAGAAACAAAATTATTTTAAATAATAAATACCCATATATCCAGAGAAAAAAATACATAATTGTGTCTTGAAACTAGATAGAGTCTTTGGCTAGGAATTGCATATTCTCACACTCTGCCACATTGTTGTAAAGAGCAGCTCACCCAAGGTACCCTATCCCCGGGATACCTTTTGCCACTGACTGGGTCTTGATTATTGAAAACAGACATCATTATAACAACATAACAGTAGGAAATATATATGCAGTATGTGAAAAATAGAATCATCCACCATCAGGTTCAGTTTCACTCCTAAAGTGCTCAAAAATTCTGAAAGATTATGAACATATCTTGCAGAATTAAAGTGTTACTATCAATTGCTATATTATTGGATCAACCTCAAAGTTTCAAGTTCCTCAGTCCAACGGGTTTGGAAGAGATGCATGTAATAACAAATACCCCCGAGGGGTATTCGGCGCACTAAAATTCTGAAGGCCCCATGCTCATCCCAGCTGATAGAATCTACATGTACGTTTCTCAATCCCAAAACTTACATTTTTTCAATGACATGAGTAATGGCAGAAAACACAACGTGTAATAATAAAAGAATCATTTGTTTGTCAGTTCTATCTATATGACAGAGAAAAAAGAACGAGCCCCTTTTTACCCTTCACTATTTTAGTGCTTCAAATAACAAAGACCGCTTCGGGCAGCAGAAAGTTGGTCATTCTCGAAGACGGGAACTCGATCCAGGATCCGTCCACTTGCACGTGCTCGTGGAATCAGTGTTAGACAGCCACACTCTCACAACAATCAATGCTCTGATAAAAAGCAAATTGTAAATTAAAATTTAAAAAAAAACGCACCTACTATTCTTTAAATCTAGATTTTAGTCCTTTAGCAAGTTCTTCCTCGGTCGGCTAGCATCCAGGGCACCAACAATAAATCTGGACCAAGTTTAAACGCTGCTGCGGACCACCGGATGTTGTGACCTTCAATGTGCAGACAACAGGAAGTGTTGGTGAAGAAGGCGCACGTCTTGTGTCCTTTTGAAGGTGTAAATGCCCAAATGCTGAGTGACATTGAAAAGAAAGGTTGTGAAGATATCTTAAATCGTCTATCCAGCGAGGAATTAATTTCCTTGAAAGACACTGTTACGAATAAACTGATAGCAGTTGAAGGGAAACGAGGCAGGTACCAGTACAACATTAAGTAACAATGTGCAGGGAATTTTCACTTTCACTTCAGGAGTTCAGTTCTTATAAGAAAACAGAGCAACATCCAGAGATAAGGTTTAGTCTTAAGTGAAGTGTGTGGCAGAATTTACGTGAATATAAAAGGCGCTTATTTTTTTATTATAGTAGCAAGATCGAGTTAGTCATCTCAAATCGTTGGAAAACAAAGGGACATTTCACTGTTGATAACATATATTTACACTTCTTCTTGCCTCTAACAAGTAATGTTCAGTGAAAGTAACTTTCTGTAATGCTTCCATCTTTAAACATTTGTGGACTATGTATGTTGTTATATTTTTCAGAAGCAATCAAGGTAATCATTTCATACACAGAAGATGTTCAGCAGTTACTAAGGAGGAAAAAAGTCAAAAGGGACCTGCTTTTCCAGTACCTGTATGACAACAATGTCACTGTTCTTCCTTCGGCTGAAAAAGCAGCCCTTATTCATGAAATATTAATACTTTGGAGATCCATGCCTTCTAAAGTACAGCAAGAACCTGAAGATATCAATGATGAGGTATCACATCTCACATTAAAAAAAAATCTTATGCTTGAAAAACAAAAGAAGCCAATTAGAAAGCAGAAAAAGGCAACAAATTTCATATTTTAGTATATCAATAGTTCTTAACTGCTGTTTAAATTTTTTCGCTTAACACCATTGGGGTACTGGGTACAGAAATAACATTTTATTTTAGCTAGAATTGGGCATATCAGAGCTTCACCAGTAATCACTCAGAATTGAGGGTAAATTGAAATTTTCTGTTAGTCATTTTTAGAAAAAAAAAAAATGCAATCTGATCTTGACCAAGGGTATATTTTTCTCTTCTTTCAAATTGGGTTCTTCTATTTGGATTCCCTGACTTTGATCATTGCATGCTTTCTCTACTGTGTCCCCAGTATTGCAACACCTTGTGTGGTCTGTCAGGGGTAAATCTTTGATTCAGGCGCTTGTTAAATACATTCTGAATTGACTTTAGTGATGTGGGACATTGCCCTATTCTACCTGATAAAGACATTGTCTGCTGAATATATGTGATGCTCCAAAAGAGGATAATCATCTATTTTTTCAACAGTGGTCATAGCAGTCAAATGAAAGCTATTGAGACAAACTTCCCTTTTCCAGAGGCAATTTCTTTTGTTGTATTAAATGAAGTTAAATAGTTTGAGAAATTGCATTTTGAAATTAAGAGCACACATACAATTGCATATGCGAAAGGTTAAAAAGTTTTTTTTCTGATTTTCAAAGGCTCACACTGCCATGCCAACACCTTAGTTTTTAAATAGTAACTGGTTCACTTCCATGGTTTTCCAAGGAAATGATACAGATAAATGGTTTTGCATATGTGTATCAACTCAAAATTAATACATTAATATATAAAACATTATCAATTAATATAGTGTGGTATTCTTAAGTGATAAATGTTCTCATATAAGAAGAGGACCAGTTTTGTTGCGTTGTATATAAAAGATACCTTTGTCTTAACTCTTCTATTTTTTTTCAGTCCAAAACTGATGTACGTGTAGCTGCTCCAGAACAAAGAAAACCCACTAGTGAGGGTCAAAAATTGGCAGAACACTTTGTCACTTGGTTTTATAACATGCTAAATTCTCATAACCCAACTTGTCCAAGCCAAGCTGAGGATCAATTCAGTCATGTGCACTTCTTTGAAGACTGCAGACTTAAACTTGTATGTGACACGACAGACAGCAGGTTTGAGGAATTCGGTGGGGCTCAATTGGTCTGCCAGAGATTGCTAGCATTTGTTCAGGAGGAATTATTGATTTTTAACCCTAACATTAGTCCTGAGGGTCTGAGGGGGTTGTCTGAGCCACATGGTTTGGTGGTTGTGATGGTCTGTGGTACAATTCACAGGCAGCAAACGTGTTTGGGAATATTTGAACAATCATTTGGCTTAGTCAAAGATCCACACTGTGAGAATAATTGGAAAATAAAGTACACAAATCTGAAAATGCTAGGTACACCTGTAACGCAAATACCAAAGTTAGAGCAAAGCAGCATTCTTCCTTTACCTTCCACAAACCTGCAGTAAATGCCATACATACTGCAAACTTTATCGGGGCTGCTTTGATAATTAGTTTTTTTTTTTT